GTCGCTCCGGCCCGTTTTGGACCCACCAGAATCCATAGGCCCGAAGCGAAAAGAGACTTTTTTGGGGGTATTGTTCTTGGATGCCGTGTTTTTTGTGTGATTTGCAAGCAAAAAGAGGTTTTCCTTTGTGGCTCTTCTTTTGAAACCAGAAGGGCAGACCCAGTCCGAACTTGAAGCAGACCATGCATTGCGCAGCCAAGGGGCAAATTGCCGAGATCAAGCTCGCAGATTCCCACCATAAAGTAAAGGGGCCAACAAGGTGCCAACAAATCCTCTCCAATCATTTTTGGGCCTCCCCAAAACTTCCTGCCCCGAAGCCAACGAACCTGCTGGGGAAGCGCTTTGCATTGCTAACCTCAGTATTATCCGGAGCTTCCCCCCGGAAAAAAGGAAGAACAATAAAACATTGTCCATGCTCCTTTTGGTTCAAGATGAGGTGTTCAAGCTCACAAATGGGACCCATCCCTTGGAGGCCAACCTGAACACCCCCCCCGTAGCAGAAACCAAATTTCCGCGAAATGGATCAGGGCCCTGAACTCTCAAAAGGTCCTTTTGGCCCTGAACATGATTGTTGTTGGGAAGCATTTTTGTTTTTTTTGCTTGTTGTAGTTTAGTGGTTGAGCTCCAAATCCACTTAACTGCTTAAAATTCACATGTTTGCTTATTCTTATTGTAGTTTAGAGGGAAATCCAAATCCACTTAACTGCTACAAGTAGTACCGCGCAAGGCGGTGGCGGAAGTTTCTAAAAAAGAACCACTATAGGAGGCTTGAACAACCAGGGCAAACATGTTTGGGGCCAAATTGAAAACCAATCATGTTTTGTTTGTGACGAACATGGCCAAACGGTCACAAAAGAAATCAACAGGTCATGTCTTCACAGGCAACTATTCCACCGCTCGGACAAAAACTGGAAAGAAAACCTGGCTGACAGGGAGCCTGCCTGACCGCAAATGTTTGACAAGTCTTAAGCCTCCATCATTTACCCTTTGTTACCATCCGCCCGCCCGTTGTCCCACCGGCTCTTTTTCCTTTTTATGCGGGCAGATTCACTTTGTCTCTGTTCAAGGCAGCACGGTCAGAAAAGACGCATGCTGCCAGGCAAGGCACACTGCAAGGCACACGGCCTGGCAAGCGCCGGGCGGTCAGAAAAGACGCACCCTGGCGCATCTCAAGCGCATTCAGCGCTGTCTTGTCAAGCGTTCAAGGTCATCGTGCACCTCTTGCGCCGCGGTGCGAAGCTGGAGACACTCGTGCTGTCTTGTCAAGCGTTCAAGGTCATCGTGCACCTCTTGCGCCGCGGTGCGAAGCTGGAGACACTCGTCAAAGTCATTTTTGCTCGAGATTGGATTGCTCGAAAGAGGCTCGCCAGTCCCTTGAAAGCAGGACGTGCCCCAAAGTCATATCTGCAGGCACCGGCAACGGGACTTGCAAGCAGACATCCGTCTCGGAGATCACATTGTCCCGCGAAGTGTTTAGGGGCTCACCAGTGTTGTCGCCCCAGTTCACCTCCATCGCCCCGGCCGAGCATCGAATGGCCGGCAAGGCTCTCGGCAAGGGCAAAGCGCCGCTTGCCTCCAAGTAAACATCGTGCTCCATAAAGGACTGCCGCGGCGGAAGCTCCGGCAGCAAGCCGAGATCGGAAGCAGCCACATGGCGCCGCACCTGCTTCAAGTCTGCCCGGTAGCCCTCGGGGATCAAAGGATCCCTGCACATAAGCGCGTACTCTTCCGAGAAGGCAGTCTCATCAATTTCGTGCGCCACGTCCTGCTGCGCCGCCCACCAAGCCTCCCAGTCGGCAGTGTCTGGCAGCAATAAGCGGAGAGCGTTGCCTTGCCAGCAGCTCGGACGCGCCGTCCGGTGGAGCCACGTGACGTAGCAGTACTTGTGCACCACGGCCAAGATATCAAAATTTTTCGCCTCCTGCAGCGGCAAAGCCACCAGTCTTAAGAAGGTGCTGGACAGCAAAAATGAATAATTCAAGGTGAGCACCGACCACATGTAAAGGAAGACCAGACACTGGAAGAGCGCCATGGCCGGCATACCACCAAGAGGCAACTCCGGAAAAACCTCCGCGGCAACAAGCATACGCTGCAGCGCTGCAAGCTCTTGCTGCAACTCCCGACTAGATGCCAGCAACTCGCTAGCGTAGGCAATCAAGCCTTGAGCGTCCTCCGCGCTCTGTATGACCCGGAACGAAAGCAAGGTCGCGTCCGAAGTAACGTCAAGCAAGCAGTCCACCCCGCGCCGAGACAGCGTCTGCGCACCTGGCTGAAAGAGCACGCCTAGTGGGGCATCGCAAGGCAGCACCAAGCACAGCGCGGTGTCCTCCACGTCGGCCGCGGCAGATTGGGCCACCTCTGGCGCGAAGGACACCCTTTTCTTTTTCTTGGCGCTGGGCGCAGCCGCGGCGTGGGCAGAGTCGTCCTGCACGTCAGCCCACGCAGGTCTGCGAGTCGTGGCTGCTTTCGGGGAGGCGGTCAGAAAAGACGCACCTTCCCCGGCAGCGGCGGGCAGAAAAGCCGCACCACTGCCAGAGGCTGCTCTTGGGGAAGCGTTCAAAAAAGCCGCAACAGACGCTGCTTCCGGGGAGGTGGTCAGAAAAGACGCACCATCCCCAGTAGAAATGAAGTGCTCGTGTATTTCCGCTGCAAGCGTGTCCCAAGGCGTGCTGAGCTGAAAGGGACAGGCGCACAAGCCACAGCGCTCCGGGAAAGCTTGCTGCAGAGCGCGCATGATAGGGCACCAGTGGCGGGCCATACGCACGCGGGAAGCTTGCTGAAGTACAGCGCGGCCTTGAGCGGTAAGGGCAGCGAGGCCGGCGCCTTCCAGCCAGTCTGCCAGCCAAGCTTTTCTGAGGGGCGTGCCGCGCTCGGCGGCAGCCGCTTGGATGAACTTGCGCGTGTCGAGGCAAATATCGCTGTAGCCAGCGGATACAGTCGTGGACGTCTCTCGAAGGTCCTTGTCCAACAGCTGCACGCTGTGCAAGTGCGCCGGAACTCGGCCGCCAAGGAACATCCGTCGGGTGCGCGACACCACCAGGTCCGCCTGTCGGAAGCAGACTTTCGCCGCCTTGTTGTCGCGGCATTGAGCTGCTTCGCTCAGCTCCGCTTGCACTCGCCGCTCCGCGGCCCACTGCCAAGTAAACCTTCGCTGCTGGATCCCCAGCAGGTCGTAAAGAAGCTGGAGCACAAAGTATAGCATCCGCGAAGAGAACACGCTGCGATGCTTGCCAGCAGCCGGACCTGTGGCACTTTCTTGCCTTTGCACACGTGGCGCAGCCAGCACACCACAGTCAAAGTCAAGGCCCACATGGCGTTGAACAAATAATTGTCGCCACCCTGCTCGAACTGATGCCAGAGACAGCCACCGTCCAGCGTGTGCTTCCAGCAGCTGTGCACCCTGTGTGCAGTCATGAAGTCATCAAGCCAGAGCAGCAACGCCGGCACCACCACTGTAGTGGAAGCTAAAGCCTCGGTCAAGCCATCCCGATCGGCCTTGGCCCCGTCAAAATCCGAGTCCCATCTCGGGTGGCAAACGTCCGTTTTGCCACCGGCGTAAAAGCCAATCCAAGAAGGCAGGTCGGACACCGAGTCTCGCAGAAGGTCTGCCAGCAACACAAATGCCGGATTCGGCGCAGCCATGGCGACGCCAGGCGGGCAGAAAAGCCGCGCCTAGGCTACTGCAGTTGCCAGGCGGGCAGAAAAGCCGCGCCAAGCAAGTTGCCAGGCGGGCAGAAAAGCCGCACCCAGCAAAAGCAGAACCAAACAAAACTTGCGAGGCTGCGCGTGTGCTGTGATGTGATGTGTGTGGCGATGAGCCTTTAGGTAGACCTTGCGTGTGCGTGTGTGTGTGTGTGTGTGCTGTGCGGTGTTTTTGTGATGCTGTTGAAGTATGCCAGTTGACTCATGCCTGATGTGAGGCTTTGAGCAGGTCGAGCATTTTCAAAAATCAGTCATTTCAACATGAGGTAAGCCAACGTTGACAGCAAGGTGCCCTGCAAAATTCCCGATGTCGGGAGCCTCGTTTTTCAAAAAACCAACCACACAGGAGACTTTGTATTCTGACAAACTTCTTTGTGGCAGTAGAGCGAAACCACAAAAAAAGCACCGACCAGAGGTGATCAACTTCCTTCAAAATGTTATCGAATGCTTACAGCAATGGTGGTTCCCCATAAAAAATGGTGGCTCCTAGTAGGGACACAAATCACGGACCCATAGTGCGACCTATTCTTTGGATCAATGAAGTCTTCCATGGTACCAATCACAACACATGTGGATTCAAAAACCTCGTGCAATTCAGCTACCTGCAATTTCCCATTTCAATGCTTGGTACTTGTCTCACGTATGTTTGATTATAGCTGCTTAGAGACCCATCGTACTTGATTCAATCCCCATGGTTTCCAAGGCCAGGGGTACCCCTATTCTGAGACCTACGTATTTCGTGGCAAGTGAATCTGGACTTCCAAGGAATGTGAATGAGCTAGGGGGCTAGCATGGGACAACATGCGAACTGATGTCAAAATAAAGGGACCCTTTTTGGTAATCCTTGAAGGGAAAACAAAAGAATCCAACCACCTCCAAACGGTTTACACTATTTGCGAACTGAGTGCTAGAATTACTACAAACACGCATGTGTCAATCCGAGTAGTTTTCTTCGCAAATCGGCTGCTGACTCCTTCACTCCTGCCAAGTAACACGGCTGCGCCGGCGCGGCGCAAGTATACGGCGATCAGAAAAGATGCACCGTATACTTCCTGCAACTGCTCGTGCAACAGCTTGCACGGCGCTGAGGAGGCGGTCAGAAAAGACACACCTACCTCGCTGTGGCCTGGCTGCGGCCAGTATAGCCTGTGGCCGCAGACAACCTCGAGCTGTTGGCATCACGCTCACGGCGCTCTTTGCGAGACTTTTCTCTCATGCACGTTTGATCCACGCTCCACGATGAGCGCTCTGCCATGAACTGCACAAGTCCCTGTGCAATGTGCGCTTGAGCATCCCCC